TCAACCAGTGTAAGCCTGAAGTTCTGTGCCATGTGCCAGGCCGCTGGAACCGTCTACGACCTGCTTTTGTCGCAGGCACAAGCGCTCAATCGGAAAAGGCCGGTGCGCCTCTTTGGTCAAGGGGTCGTAGATAGGAGTTATCGCTACCGGCGGCTGCCTTCACTACTCCTAAATGCTGTCAGTAACCATTTGACATTCAGCTGGGCCCACAAACGGAATGGGCACGTAAACAGTGGGACCTTAATGAAGGTTGAGCCACGCCACAAATGTCATCTCCGGGCATACGTAGAGATCGCAGTCGTTGTTCCAGCTGGTCCGTAACTGCGCGACACAAGTAGTGCGTCGAAGAAAACTCGACATGTCGAACTTCGTTATCTGTTCATGCAAGAGCTAGTTCAACAAGGTGTGCTTCAGGTGAAGAATGTAGCCGGTACTTCGCATCTTGCAGATGTGCTGACGAAGTATGTTTCACGTGAGGTGCTTCAAAGGCAGAAAGCTAGGAGTAAGAAGGGTACTTCTGGTAGGTTGCTCTAACTTCTAGGATGTAGTGCCTTAAGACGATTCAGCTAACGGACCGTTTACCGTCGTGCGTTTCCAGCGATTCTGGGCCCTTTTGGGTGGGGCTGGGGTGAAACACCGAATGTTACACATCCCGGTGCCTGTCTGTTTCACGTATCGCTTGCATGTATCCTTGCCTGTTGCTCAAGGTTCTAGCAGAATACTGATCTACAGCAGTGCGCCAGGTGTTCCTGCACGCTGTCTGCGAGGGGACACACGCCTAGGTTACATCTCGCAGGGGGAGGAGGGTGGGGGGGGGGGGGCGAATCCTTGAAAAAGCCTCGTCTCCACAATTGCGCAAGTGTTTGTATTTAAATGTGATTTCCCAGATTTCCACACTGATTCGGATCTATCGCCCAATCAGCTCGCTTGAGTCTTTCCAATCTGACGATGTTGACCCGATGCAGTTTTGCCTGATATGCAAGTCTGACGAAGTTGACCCGATGCAGATTTTACAAAAATATTGACAGATGTTTGTCATTCAATGTGATTTCCCAAATCATTCACACTGATTCGGATCCATCTTCCAATCAACTCGCTTGAAACTTTCTAATCTGACGATGTTGACCCGATGCAGTTTTGCCTGATCAGCAAATCTGACGGAGTTGGTCCGAGATTTCACAAAAATATTCACAAATGATTGTCATTCAAATGTGATGTCCCAAATGATTCACACTGACTCGGGTCTATCGTCCAATCAGCCGGCTTGAATCTTTCCGCTCTGATGATGTTGATCCGATGCAGCTTTTGCCTGATAAGCAAATCTGACGAAGTTTATCCGATGCAGATTTTACAAAAACATTGACAAATGTTTGTCATTCAATGTGATTTCCCAAATGATTCACACTGATTCGGATCTATCCTCCAATCATTTTTCGAATCTGACCATGTTAGTCCGATGCTTCTGTCAATATGAACTCCCTCCCAATGTTATGACAATCATCCCAGATGCATACTGACACGCACATGCGTGACCCGGAAAAGTCTTCGGTTTCACATCCGCGCTTCAGAACTTGTTCATGCGATTGTTCATCGAGTTTGAATATTCGATAAAAACACAAACTTTGGGTTAAACAGCAAATCCGTGTTTTTGCACACAAACCTCGCTGTGCGCGGTGCTTTTCCCTCTTCGACCACACTTAAAACAAGATCACAAAAAGGAACATGCCGAATCACGCAAAGTGCCACGCCTGCCATGGTTTTCAGAAATCGAGCTCTGAAAACAGCACTGTTTCGCAGGCCTCATATTCAGTCATAAATTGCGCTCCCGCTGTGGCGAAACGCTTATTTGCACAAAAGCGTGCGACAGAAAACGAACACGTGCGCACGTTTCACTTCAATTCGCTTGTGTCAAAATAGAGCTCCTCTTTTGGAAACATCAGAGTCAGTGATGTCCTCTAGTGTCTGGAAACTTCGCTCCTAGCCGCCTTTGCAAGGACTTCATGGCCGCGGCCGCCACTCGTTTGGCTGCGACTTTGTGCGCCACGTGGCTTGCCGCCATGGATTTTGCTTGCGGTTTTGCTTCGGGCTGGGTTCTTGGCTACTTCGCTTTGGTGTTCGATTTCTGCGTGGATGGTTTGCGCACTTCACACCGGATTGCGCCCACCCGGTTGGGACGTGGGATACTTTACCTCACGCAGGATTGTGCCCACTTCTGTTGGGACATGGTTTTATTGGTATATTTCTTGGTGATTGGCATCTTCGGGTGGCTTCAGTTTGCACTTCGACTTCTTTGTCGGGGTGGACATCGTGGATCAACCTCGCGCAAGGAGGATTTAACTTCTGAGCCCAGAGGTTCAGCAGCTTCAGCAACAACTTCGGGAGGAAGAGGCTTTGAGGGCCACACTTCGCAATTGATCGGGTGACTTCGTGGCAGGTGCGCCAAAGCCAGGTTCAACTTCGTGACCAACTTCTTCGCCAGCCCCTGCCGGATCGTCACCCTGAGCTGAGGTGCAACAGTCTCGCAACTTCTACTTGCGGGCCTTTGGACAAAACTTCGTTGGTCTTATCATTCGCACCTTGGGGCGGATGAAGCAGAACTACAGTCATTACACGTCTGCTCCACCGGCGACCGCCAGAAACTTCGTGACGCAGGCTTCGACATGGACCGACTTCAGTCGGGAGACGACCAGCGTCTCATGTACTTCATGGATTACCACTCCACGGCGAACCCGCATTTCAACCACTTCAAGGAGCTCGCGGACTTCCTGAAGGCGTTCTTTGAAGGCCAGGACACACGGCAGTGAACTTGTTTCCCGGACTTTTTGGGAACCTTCCTTACGGTGCAGGAGAACTTCAGTTGCACATAGGAGTACAGAAGGTCTACAAGCACCCGAACCTCATCGAGGCAGTGAACAACTTCGGGCCCCGAGTCTTTGTTGCGCTGACAACTTCCTCGTTCCAGCACTTCATGAACAAGGGGACACGTCACATCATCTTTGGACTTCAGCTGCTTCGTGAGGTGAACGAGGAGCTCACTTCGAGCAATGCGCGAGAAGACCCACATGGTGATCTCCAGCTGAAGGTGACGCAACTTCTTCGCCAAGGCCGGCTATCTTCTGGAACCGCCAGTACGTGGACTACTTCTTGCAGTTCCACTCTGGGTCCTACGCACTTTTTCCGGAGGAGCAGACTACGTTGGCTGCGTACACTTTTCCCGGGACGTGGCAAAACTTCCACGACTTCTGCTTCAGTGTGACGTCGCATGGGATTTCGCGCTTCATGCACATGCCCATCACGAGGCATCACTTCAGCGCCCTTCAGAACACTTCAGGTGAACGCTTCTGGATGCACCCTGAACTTCTTGCGCCTTGGATTCGATCACAGCTATGATTCACTTCAGTGAGCTGCGATGCCATCGGTTTACTTCAACATCTTTTCTTCTTTTGAATGTGCACTTCGGTGTTGAGCTGGTTTCTCACTTCGACGGTGCGATTTCCGATTTCACGCAAAAGTCTTGAGTGAGCCACTTCTTCTTTCGGGCTGGTTGAAACAACTTCGTGCAACTCTTCGTGTGGCTCAAGCACATGAGGACAAACAGGACTTCAGAGAGCTGGGCCTTATTTGAAGGGTTGAGCTCTGCTTGTGCATACTTCGAACATCCTGGAATTTGTCATGTTGTTTTGCTGTTGTTGTTGCTGCTGCTGTTGCTGTTGTTGCTGTTGTTGCTGTTGTTGTTGCTGTTGTTGCTGCTGCTGCTGCTGGTGTTGTTGTGGTTGATGTTGTTGTTGCTTCTGTTGTTCTTGTTTGTTGTTCTTGTTGGTGATCTTGTTGTTGATCTTGTTGTTCTTGCTGGCGTTGCTCTTGTTGTTGCTGTTGCTGTTGCTGTTGCTGTTGCTGTTGCTGTTGCTCTGTTGCTCTGTTGCCCTGTTGCTGTGTTGCTGTGTTGCTGTGTTGCTGTGTTGCTGTGTTGCTGTGCTGCTCTGTTGCTGTGCTACTGCTCTGTTGCTGAGTTGCTGAGTTGCTGAGTTGCTGAGTTGATGTGCTGCTGTGTTGCTGTGTTGCTGTGTTGCTGTGTGGCTATGTTGTATTGTTCGCGTTCTTGTTACTTGTTCTTGATACTATTATTCTTGCTGGTGTTGCTGTTGTTCCGTATGATCCCAAACCCTGATCTCTGATCTCCACAACCTAAACCCAGGACCCCGAAACGTAAACCCTGAACCCTCGTCCCTCAAACCTGAACCCCAATCCCCAAGCCCCGCAGCCCGAACCTTCAACCCTAGACCCTACAAGCTCAGAACCCGAACCCCGGACACTCAACCGAAGAGCTAAGACAAAGCCGAGAGTATACATGTGAGTATGCCGCCATGCCATTGCTGTAAGCGCGCTTCCAAGTCCAGCGCTATTCACTTTGTGAAGCAGTCAAGCAGTGCATGCCACTTGAAGCCGCGTGCGTTATCCACTCTACTGAGAACGAGCTGTTTCCTCGGGCCCAAGTGCGCTCCGGTAGATACATGTGATCAAGGGTGAACAGAATATGCATGTGAGTTCCTGGAGGGACACAAAAGTCGACTCCGCTCACGTTCTTGGGTCAGCCGGTGAACGTGCAGTCCGAACAAGGCTTAAGATTCTTGAATCGTACACCCCTAAGGTGATAACAATCAGTTCGACTGTGCCACGTCTTACCGGTAGCCGTTGTTGTGTAAAGTTCCCTGGCAGCTGGCTCCGCATCGCGAGCTCGCAGCTGTGTATCAAGGCGCTCTATGGTTCTGTACGAGTTGTCCCTGAGGTTTTGCAGGTGAGCAACTTCGCGCTCCAGGGTAGCTACACGGTTTTTCAGCTGCTCAGTCAGAGAGTCTTCAGCATCCAGTGCAGCAGTGTCCACGTCCATCGGCTCCGTGGGAGCGTCGTCGTATGCCGTAGTCGAGGAGGTAGTGAAGCCGCTGGGTTCACGTCGTTGGCATCGTGACCACCAGTATCGTAGTGCACCCCAGAGAGTCCACTCAACGCCGATGATGAGACAAATCATCGTCGTCAGCCATGACCAGTCGTCGTCTGCCGTGGTGGTTGCCGTAGTGCTCGTCGTAGAGGATGAAGTCGTTGAAGTTCGCCGCGAGGTGGTCGATGTAGAGGAGGTTGAAGCCATAGCACTGCCAATCGTTGACATGAAGAAACATGACGTAGGTCTTGATGTACACATAGCACACGCGAAAGCCGTAGACGCTGTGGCCACGTTCTTGATGAGCTCCTTGTCGGTCATGTCCAGGTGCTCCTCAGTCACTTGTGCGACTTGTGGTAGTCGACGTAAGGTCATTCTGTGATCTCCATGGTTGTAGAAGCGTACGACCCCAGTAGACAAAAGAGACATGAGTGGAGGCGCAACCATGCTTTTTGTCAAACCATCTGCCGTCATGCTTTGCGTAGGCGTCAGTGCCAACCAGCGCAAGCGTCCATGTAGGCGGGCTTCGCGGAAAGCGAGGACGTACAACCGCTGTCCCTTGTCCTGAGGTACTGACTTGTCGCCGGATGCCAACTCAAAGAAGTCTCTGCAATCCGTGTAATCATCCACAGGCAGTTGACGAACGCCGCCTTCTTGACAAGCCAGCAACCCTTGTATCGTGGGACGTCGCGACATGTAGAGAACTTCGGCCAAACGCACAGCAACCAAGCTGCTTGTTTCCAGGCCGCTGACCGCCGCCAAGGTTTCAGCGTGGCTGGTGGAGTAACTGATGCGCTTTGCTTTTGCGCCATGACCCCACAAGATGTGCGCTGCACCGCCCATGATGGCCGTCTCGTGGTCGCTGAGGGTCTTCTCCATTGAACCATCCATGTCGCCGATGCGGTCTTCCATGAGAAGTATAATGTAAGCACACCTTCTTGAGCATACTGTTTGGTGTTGCCGGCGGCACTGGAATCATGGATGCAGGCCAGACGAAGTGGAGCCCGCAGGCGTCTGAAGTGAAGACCCAGACCTTGCCCGACTTCTGCTTTGGCCCGTGCCACCACAGTGTTGGCCTCCTTCAGATGACGAACTCGTGCATTTGTCACCTGAGTCTGTAGATGACTGACGTCTGCAATGATGTCGAGCCGCGTGGCAGTGAGCCATAGAAGGGCACCCAGTATTGAGCGGAAGCTCGTTACCTCACTGGGTTCCAAAGGTGAGTCATCCTTCTTGCCCGCCGGAATCGGAGCCGGCTTGAGCTTGGAACAGAACTCATCTTGGCTCATCATGAATCCAGTAGCCGTCTTGCTGTAAACAACGCCACAGTGTGTGAAGGGTAGTTGTTGACGAGTCACTTTTCCAAACTTCGCACAGAGGAGGTCGTATTGCTCCTTGAGCCAATCAGACTTGCTCCCAGCACCGACGTCATCAACATGGGTCGTAGCGATCGCGAGGACGGATGCCTTGTCTGTCTTCGCATGCTCTTTCTTCTTCATCCAGAAGAAAAGATTCTCGTCCATTAGGCTGGGGATTCCGCCTTGCGATTCAAAGTGTTGATGAAGACAAAGTTGCCAGGCAAGTGGAGCGTCGTTGAGGCCATAGATCGGCTTCAGGCAGAGGAGGACGTATTCATCGATTTTGTCCTCCGGCACTTGGAAGGTTGCATCGTACTTGGCCAGATGTCTCCAGACGTTTCTGGGAACAATGACCGCAACTTTGCGTAGCGGTGCGGATATCCCCTTGGACCGTAACAGCTCTCTGATCTTCTCGAAAGTGAGACCCTTGAGGAAGGCCGCCGTCACGTCCCAGCTCTCAATGTCGAAGTCCTGTGTCGCAGATGTCGACATGAGTATCCGCTGGCTTAGCCTGGTGGCCGTGGTGGATCTCGTGGAGAGCATCTCCTTCTGTGAGTCGAAACAGCCCCTGGCGCACAGCCGCGACTTGACGCGACGGGTGCCGTCGGGATATCTTTTCCATTTTCTCACCCAGATGCAGTCCACAATGACAACGTCGGAGGTCAAGCCGTTCCGGTGCATCTTCTTGAAGCTTTTGGTTTCGACAAATTGTCGGACCTCGTCGCCATCGGCTTTGTCAACCAACGGCCAGTGCTCGTAGATCTCGTGCTCGCCAATGTTGTTCGTCTCCTCATCGACCTTGTAGATTTCGCCAGAGTTGATATCGGCGAGCAGTTCCTGGTGCCTCTTGCTGGGCCACACAAAGAGATGTTGTGCAGGCTGAACGTAGTAGTTGACGACAGTGTGGTCTGTTGGTAGTGCAGGTCGTCCCGTGGTCAGCCGGCCCATATGATCATCCCATAGCGCAATCATGCATTGGTTGTCGTACTGGAACCAACTGGTAGGGAAATCCAGAGGAATGTTCTGGGTGCGCCGCATCATCCAGTACAGGTTCAGCATGTTGTGCTGTGCGTAGGTGATCACCTTCTCTTTGTCGAAGTTATCCAGCAAAGCTTCCAGTTTGGTCTTCTTGGTTTCAGGTCCAAGAGTGACCGTTCGGCTTTCAGGGCCTTTTCTTTTGAGAGACCCATCATCGTCACTCATTGGTGTGGTCGTTGATTGAGGTGTAGTAGGTGAGGTTGCAGATTGTGGTGATTGTGGTTGTATGTCCATTGGCTGTGAGTCGTCGGCGTCCACTGCGCCTTCAGAGGGAATGATCTTGATGTCGTTGGCAGGCTCGTAGTTGGTGTTGATGTAGTAATAGATGTAGAGAAAGGCGAGGTTGTCGATGGCCTTTGTGGTCACCTTTTTCATGGTGATGGGCTGGTCGTTGTTGTGTTCGTGGCACGTGTGCTCCTCTGTTCCACAGGTCAACATGATGAGCACACCACAGGAGCCCGTCGGCGGGTGTAGAGTTTTGACTCCTTGGCCGAACATTCCTCCAGCAACATTGTGTTGTGCCAGAGCTTTGCCCACACTGACGATCTTAGTCCAGGTATCGGCGAAAGCCAGAGAGCTTGTAGATGCACGCCGCCACATTGTGAGATCTCCTTGTTGTTCTGTGAGCCATCCAACGGTGGTCACCTTGTAGGGCGAGAGCTCTTCAACCAGTTTGCGAAGCCCATTGAAGGCCTCGGCCTGGGGCTCTGAGAACGACACAAACACGCCAGCCTGGTGAGGACGTATGTGGCGCAAACTCACCAGGTATGGTCTGCCCTGATAGGACAGTATGGCCGTTCCTTCCTGGACATCCAGCTTCAGCAGTTCAGCAGGTCCTCGCCAGCCAACGTCGCCTTGAACTTCCCTGTGGAAATCCACCTTCGTTGTTCCGGGGATCAACTCACCTACCTTTAGTTGGTGAGGTCTCGTTCTGTTGGCCCTGGCGATGCGGTCCTCAGCAACTGCTTGGTGTACCATCGACAGAGCCATCTGCCGGATGCGAAGTGCCCGCTCAAAAGGCGTAATGTCGGTTTGGAGAGCGCCGGCAACCTGTGCAATGGTGGTCTGGTCCACGTCGTAGTACGGTCGAGGTAGAACACCATACACAGCCATGCAAGGAGTGGCACCACCGTAGTTCAACGTCTGGTTGTGTGCAATGGCCGATTCCTTGCATAGTTCTGGTACTCGAAGCTGAACACCTTGCCGGTCCATCTCTGCCTCGAGCTTTGCCATTGTCAGCTCCATCAAGCCGACATGTCGTTCCACCAGGCCTGTGCCTGTATGTTGTTCGGCAGCTGGCCCAGCGGTGGTTCCTTTGGGCACTCGTTCAATGTTGAACCTTTCCATCTCATGTGCTGCTTCATGGCTCATGAGAGAGGTCTCCTGATCGAGCACCAGTTGATGAGGCGCTCCGTAGATGTAGATCCAGCAGTCACAGAGCTTGCCGAGAAGTTCGGTGTGGCTCTTGTTGTTTACGACCGCTGCCGCCTTCAAACGCGTTGCTTCACAGATGACAAGAAGAACCCAGGTCTCCTTATACATGAAAAGGTCGATCTGGATGCGGTAGTTGAAGGTTCCCGCATTTGAGCCAATCTTGACTTGTGGCCGGTTGGGCAGCCGAACATACTTTCTGCAAATCGAGCAAGACATCACCGCCTCTTCAGCCAGTGGCGAGATGTCAGAAGGAAGGCCTGCTCGCAGGAGCATGTTCTTGAAATCGGTGATGGGGCAGTGGTAGAATCGCTCATGCAAGCCCAACAGAAGTCTTTTGGCTGTGTGCGGGTCACTCTCGATGATGCCGCTCTGGAGACGTTTGTAGACCTTCTTGTAGTCGAAGAGCGGCTTGATGGTCTTCGATTGTTCTTCACCTTCAGGACGTACCGCTTCAAACTCTTCTTGTTCTTCGCCAGGTTCAGCTGCTGCATCGTCTTGTGGTGGAGGTCGTGGTTCCAAAAGTCGTGGTGGTGCGGCCGATGAAGAAGCAGAACTCCTCCCATCATTCTCTCTTTTCGGCGACGAAGACGCAGCCGCAGGTACAAGAGGAGCGGCAGGTCGAGCCGAAGAGGGAAGAGAACCGCCAACACCTGAAGCACCAGGACGATCGACATCGGGATCACCGTTGCGAAAACCGAACAAAGTGACCACCCAGTCAGCTTCCTCGACCTTGGCCTTGAGCTGGTTCTCGGACATCATGCGCATATCCTCGATAGCATGCACTCGCCAAGCCCGTACGCCACCGCGAATCATCAAGCGCAGAGGGGCGCAGGCAGAAGAAAGGTAAGGGTCCGGAACCTTCAGGTGCCAAGGGCGAAGTGAGCACATCACCCCGAGAACTTGTAGCTGACTGTCGAAGACGTCCTGGAAGACCTGGAAAAGAACTGGGTCATCCAGCCAGTGATCGTAGTCGACATTGGTGGCTTCTTGGAAGATGCCGATGCAGGACTTGAGCAGGTTGGTGAGAGCCGCCTTGAGGTACAACCTGGGCTCCGGCGCTAGCGAAACAGTGTCATCGACTTGCAGATCCACGCCGCTGTAGTCCCCACTGCGCGCAAGCATTTTGAAAGCAGCCGTGGGGTCCTCCATATCGCTGCGCTGAGGGCGAGCCTGTCGAGCGACACCGCGCATGGAAGGTTGACCATAGCGACACTCGCCTGGTACCATGGTGTGCTCACAACCAGGAGGTGCTGACCTGCCAAGTTGGCATCTCTCACAACTGTAGTAGTAGAGCTCATGCAGCCACCAAAGTTGTCGTGGCCAGGGCTTGCAGGATGCACTGTGGTCCCGCCGAAGAATGGACCATAGGTCCTGAACAGCAGCATGGCAAAGACGTCGAGGATACACAGCTGCCAATGCCGTGCGATTGCAGCCCTGCCATTGACCTTGTAAAGTGCCGTGCTGTTTGCCTTTGTGGCCGCCACATCGACGTAGAACTTGCTTCCATCTGCGATTGCTGAAGAAAGCCGTGGTCTTCCGAACCGGCCGAGAACTCTCGTCTTGAGCACCAAGCATGCATTGATCAAAGCGTTGACGGTGAATGCCTTCATGCTCGAGCAATCGCGCCATGGCACTCTCCTTGAACATGCTCGAGGTGAGTGGCTGTTCCACCGTAAAAGCGCGGCCGCTGTTGTGCTGCCATAGACAAAGCGTCTGCAGGTACTCCAAGGTCGGTCTCTCTTGATCGCGATCACTTGATCGCTTGTCCGATTCCTTGGAGGAGGATGCCACAGACCACGGGCCACAGTTTGGTGCCATGAAGAGATGGTCCGTGCAGAAGGTGTTGTGGCACTCTTGCAGTAGCGATTGGTGAGGTGGATGCCCGAGGTCCCAGCCGTACCTGTGGTCAATCGGAAAACCCACAGTGAGGCCTGCCAGTAGGCAGATGAGGCTGAGACGCCCCGAGCCGCTGCACATTTCCCAGAACTGGAGCCGCAGCGGCTGCTCAGTGGATCGAACTTTCTGCAGCCAGGCCTTAGCATTCCACGGTGTCACCGGCCTTCGTCCGGACTTGGTGTAGAACTCTTCCGGAATGGCCTTGTAGTACTGAGTCGCCCGAGAGCGTCGAGAATCATCCCAGTGTTCTGGAAAGGTGTCGCCGGTGTACACTGGGAAGTGCTCGGCATCCAGTGGCGCAGTCGAGGTCGTTGTTGTCGTGGGAAACTGCATAGCTGTAGGTTTCGTCATCGCTGGATCCGGTTCAGGTGCTCGTACTTGGAAGACGGCTTTGCCAGTCCAGAGATATGCTAGGTCCTTGTTCGGCGCAGAAGACACATGCCAGTCATCATTTAGGTACTTCATGCCGGTCTTCTTGGGAAGTGCTTGTATGTGTGTCTTCCGTTGACCAAGCAGCAACTCTGGTTCGACTGGACAGTCCAGCGCACAGTCAGGTGTGAAGAGCACTCGTCGTGGAACACGATGCACACGAACCAAGGTGTTGTCATGGTGCTCCCAATAGTCCTCCTTGGCATGAACCTGATGTGCTGGACCTGAAAGAAACGGCTTATCGTGGGACCCAGATGTGGTAGCTGTTGGTGAACTCGACGTTATCTCGTCCTCTGTGATGTTCTTGCTGTCGTCTATTTCATGTGCCTCACGAACGGACCCAGATGTGGTAGCTGTTGGTGAACTCGAGGTTATCTCGTCCTCTGTGATGTTCTTGCTGTTGTCTCGACACCGCTCACGTTCCTGGGAGGAGATCGCCGACTCGTAGAAGCAGTGTTTCACGTTGGCACGCACATCGGGCCATCGGTTTGCGATCTCCTGTGTCCAACAGTGAAGTTGAGCATGAACTTGCCCTTTTGTCTTATTGGTTACGTCCTGTGTCCCATCGACTGGCAGCAGGTAGTGGCCTGAATCAGTGAGAAGTAGCCGCAGGTAGTGACACTCTCGCTCCTCGGTCTGGATCACCAGGACACCGTCGCCATTGCTGAACCAATCGGAGAGTATCGCTGCCTTCTGTCTTCGTAACGCAGGATTTGAAAGAAGAGCAGGACAGAGGGACCCGTCACCGCCGAGGACGTCTGCCTTGTAGCTTCCACGGGCCCCGTCGAGCATGAGGGGAATCTCAATTTCTCCGAGGGTAGATTCGGAATTCCCCGAGATTCCACTGACATTGTTGGTCTTCTGTCTGTCCCATCGCACCGGGCCGCTGTCACAGGCTTCGAGCAGATCTCTCAGTGTTTCGGAACCAACAAGTCCCGAAGCCGCGCCCGGATCGACCAACAAGCCCCGGCGTTTCTCACCTTGAACCGTGTGGTATGCCTCAGTGCTGTAGATTGAGCTGGCGAAACTGAAGGCTAAGCGTTTCTCAGCCTTGCTGCCGTAATCATCAGGAGCAGCGTCTTGTGTCTCCTCAGTCATTCCGGAGGAGGTAGGAGCACGGTTCAGGTTGATCACCGGGCCGCCGGACTCGCCAAGGTTAAAGTGAACTACCTTGCGAGGCGGTGTGGCCTGCTGAGCAGCCTTGCTGTCACCAAAGGCTTGGTTCAACGTTTTCTCGCTGTAGCCATAGTAGCCCTTGTTGCCCTTGTTGCCACCATAGCCGCCATAGCCCTTGAACCTTGGCATCCACTTTCCTTTGCTCTTGCCCTTGCTCTTGCCCTTCTTGCCCTTGCCGTAGCCGCCGCTGTAGCCACCACCGTAGCCACTGCCGTAGCCACCGCCGTAGCCTTTGCCACGGCCCTTCGAAGATGGGCCGTAATGGCCCTTTCCTTTGCCGCCTTCGTGGCCACCGCCGCCGACTGGACAAGAAGCGGCACTGTGCCATTTCGAGCCACATACTGAGCAGCCTGGGCCTTTTCCTTTACCCTTTCCTTTCATCGGGTAGCTCTCCTGAGTCGTGGCTGCACCAGACGAAGGAGAGGTTGCCTCTTCACCATGGTAGTCAGGATGGTCGCCAGCATCAGCCGGCGCAGAGTCACCCGGCTCCTCGTACCATTGGTTGGCACCCTCGTACTCGGCAGAGTGGTTCTCGTAGTCATACTCGCCGATCCAGTGCCAATCCGTTTCGTACCAGGCCTCGGTGTCCCAGGGCTCGTCCCATTGTAGCTCGCCGTCTTCTTCGTACCAGTCATAGAAGCCGTCATGGTCTTCAGGATCCTCCTCGTACAGGATGTCTTGACCGGCTTCTTCTTTCCGACTGATGATCCTCAAAGCAAGCGTCCGGGCATCCTGGAACAACCTCATGTCACCCTGCAACTGCATCTTGATATCCTCGACAAACTTGGCCGGAAGGTTTGCTCCTCGAAAGAACAGGTAGAACTTCGCCACCTCATTCACCACGAGTCCTGCACGCGTGGTGGCCTCCTCCAGCTTATAGTCCCACTCAATGGCATACTCCTGGAAAGAGAGCTTGCCACGGCGAAACTCGAAGAATTCTTCCAGAGACTTCGACACCATCTCCTGGTCCGAGATCCCAAACGCGTCCTTCAAGGCGTTGCAAAGCGCTTGTATCCCAGAGGGAATGTGGGCTTGGAGTATCACATTGGGATTCGCAGGGTCACGCACTTCGTCCACTGCGAGCCGACTAAGTGCCACACCTCCAACGTCCACAGTTCCATCTGGACGGGGCAAACGTAATGTGAGCCCCAAGCGCTGCGCTTTCCCCTGCAATCGTCCCGCAACTAGCGGGCCGACCATTGTGTCATCCCCGTCGTACACCTGGTACCACAACTTCAGCCGATCGAAGAAAAGCTTCAAAGGGTAGTCCGGAAGTCCTGGCGCCCAACCAGGTGGTATGTCTTTCCTGATCTCATGGAGAGACACCCCCGTGTGGGGCACCGAACTTGTGGAGGCCATCTCGCCTGCTTGTGCGTAGATGCCGTAGATCAGCTGAAGAAAGTCGAGGTAGTGCCGGAGGAAGTGGTCGCAACGACGAAGAAGAGGAGAAAGTAGTCCTTTTGAGGACGGAGAAGAAGGGGCCCCGGAGGCCAGAAGAAAGGTGCTTCCGTTCCGGTAGTTCCGGAGGAAGCCGTAGTCGTAGTGCTCGTGGTTGAGGTTCTTCTCGAAGTCAACACCCTTGATCGCAGAAAACGGGTAAAACGAATTCACAAAAAACTCGTACAACTTTCCCTGGTCGTAACCCGGCTCGTCCACAAAGTAGGTATGGCCGCTGGGCACTGCGATGCCCTTGGTGATCAGAAGCAGCCAAAGCACAACCGTGGAGAGAAAGTCGCCGACCGTCGTGAAGAAAGAAGGTGCCGCAGGAGCGCAGCACAGGAGCGCCGGGCTCCTCGGCAGCCTATGGCGAATGGGTTTACGCGGGCCCTTACCTGCTCCGCTACCAAACTGAGAACAAGCTGTTTCCTCGGGCCCAAGTGCGCTCCGGTAGATACATGTGATCAAGGGTGAACAGAATATGCATGTGAGTTCCTGGAGGGACACAAAAGTCGACTACTCTTCAGTTCGTGAAGTGGCTTAAGCGGCCCGATTGAATGAGCGGTTCCCGATTCCCAGGGCAATGCGATAAAGGCACGTGCAGTCCTCGGACTTCCCCTTTCCTTTGCCCTTGCCCTTCTCTTCGCCTGGCCAGAGGAAGCCTCTGCAGCACCCCCCAGATTGCAAAGAGCCCGGCCGTCGTCTTTATCTTTGAAGTCTCCTTTGCCCTGGAGTCCAAGCTGAAGCAACTGGTCCCTTGATCTGCTGATGGCGAGAAAGTCCGGCCTTCTTCCCAGAGTCCTTAGACTTGCCCTTCTCCTGGCGCATCTGCCATGAGCCCGCCGCCCGCCTATCACTGCAAATCTCCGCACCTTGCCCTTGCCCTCCTTGGCCTCTCCCTGCCCACAGCATTTTCATGACACTATCCCTACACGACCCCGCCCCGCTCTGTTGCGCGTGCCTTGCTGGGCTTCGTGTCCCAACCCTGGCGCGGAAACTCGCAGCCACGACATGTCGGCCCAAAGCGAGATGAGGCTCCCACCCAGTCGTTCCAGCTCCACCAGTCCGAGTCTGAGTGCACAAGCTGCCGACCTCTGCCGACCTCGCCTCCCTGGTGCCCCCTTCGCCCAAGGCGTCCGCAGCTGTCGGCCGTCCACGTCCAACCTCAGACGAAGAGCTGAGATGCGACCCATGCGCGAGCACGGAACCAAGTAAGGCCCATACTCCAGTCCTCCTCCTCAGCTCTGGCAGACTTGCCTGCACACGATCCCAGAGAAGCACCGATTGCATCGGAGTCCTCTACCACGGCCCGCTCCCGCCTCCCTTCCGCTTCCCCTCGCCCTTTCGATCGCCCTTGCCCTCAGTCTGTGAAGTGGGGCACTGCGACAAGCAAACGAATGCCAGCCTTCGGCTCCTCCTCCGTCTTGGCTGTCCATTTCGAGGCTGAGTGCACAAGCACTGAACATGCAGAGCCAAAGTTAAAACAAAAAGAGCCGGACCTCCCTTGGCCTCCTTTCTGTCCTTGCCCTCAAAGCGCGCAGCTGTTTGGGGGGCTGGCCATTGGCACTGGCATTCGTGCCTTCGAGACGGGCTCGTCTTCGCCCTCGGTCTTCTTGGCCACCCACTTCATGGCTGCAGGGCACAGTGGAGCACAGCGGAGCAGTGAGGGGCAGTGACGGCTTCCAGTTCCGGGTCGGCGCTTGAAATGACTCAGCCAGTGCCTACTCTGCCTATCCTTCGTCTTCGTCTAGACGACCGCACGGGGCTACATGCAGAAACAACGAGCAGGGGAAAACCGCACCTGGACCAGGCATGGCCACACCTCGCAGTAGACGGACGAATTCAAAGACTATGACTATGACTATGCGCTCGCCTGGAACCGGCCTCCAATTGAAAACGCGCTCGGGCACGACCAACGTATGACAAGCTGACCAGCGCAGCGCCGCTGCGCTGCTCTGTATTGCCTGTGTTTTCTTTGCTTGACTCCTTGACTTGTACACGCGGAGGTGCGGCGGCCCGGCTGAGACTCTCCTTCTATTTCTCCTTGGTGGTGGTGCCTTGGTGCTGTTGCAGTCTGCTCAGTAGTCTTAAGCTGATGAATCAGAGAACCCTCTCGAGCTCTTGAGCCAAGGAGAGCGGTGAGATGCCACAGACCAATGAGACAAGAAGCCGAGCGCACAAGGACATTTCTGCACTAAGGCGGCCTTGAAGGAGCAAAAGTCCTTGCTGAGACCTGAAAACTTCGCGAAACGAACTCCTCAAACAGCTTTCGCTAACGAATTCCAGAACTTGAACTTCAGGAATCGCCGGATAAGCATCCCACATGCCCAGATTGTCTCATCCTTGGGTGGCTGCGTCGCTGGGAGGCTGAGCGGCTTGCTTCCGTCTACAAGGTGCCGACGTTGTGCATCGCTGCAGCTTCCGCTGTCGCTATGGCACCATCAAGCCGCCTTTCTCCGTTATGCTTTGTCTGCTTCTGGTTCCTAGGGTCCGAAGCTGACACGACGTAGGGCTTCAGGGCTTAAGCAGGTTCTGAGCAGCGTGGCTAAGTAGCTCCCGCAGCACTTCCCATGCCATGGCATATCTAAGGATATATTTGACCTGAGTTGAGCTTGAAGTTTTCAGCACCAAGTCAAAAGGACATCTGACGGCACCATGGCATGCGCGTTGCAAACTGCATGCCTCTTTGTCTCGCCTTTGCTGGCACGGAAAATCTCAATCGATTGTCACTTGCCCCAGCGCAAGCTTCCGAGGCTATTCGTACACGTCTCTGGGAGGACATGTGGCCCGCACTGTTCATGCGGGTTCGCTGCACCTTGGCATCAGAGACTGTAAGGGCAAGCTGCCTTTACAGCAGCCACTTTTTTTGCCAGGCTAGTGTTACTTGCAGGGTTTGGCTGCAACTTTTGTCGGTGTGTCGTTCTGCCGAATGTGCTGCGGCAAGCAGAAAGACGGGTTAGGTACTTGTAGATGTGATAATCTGGTCAATGGCTGTTAGAGACAAGGCGCTGCACTAAGGAGGTCTTGTACCTCTCAGAAGTGAGAACAGGAGATTTCTTGCATGCGTGCCTGTCTAGTTGCCAGAGTAGGGACCCAGGGACACCGAATTCTTCCGATCAACTCGCCTCAATCGCGACGGCCTGCAACCAGATCAGAACAAACTGGCTCAAGGTTCTATGAGGCATGGCCCAAGGGTACCTTTCCCGTGTTGGGATTGGTGATCTGCAGCGGCGTCGACGGCTTTCGCCTGCATTAACAATCATTAATACAGAGTGTGCAAATTAATTTCTGATGATCTCTTCATTTATTGCATGCTGTTGCCCAGCAGCTCCCGCTGTGCTGCGGCGCACATTCTCGGTTAAGGTCATGTTATTTCCATAGAGCAATCGTGTTACTTGCACTTGGCGCCCGCCCCAAGTCAACCCCAGCGACCGTAAGCCAGCCCCAGCTGCATGGGTTTTACCGCTAGTCAACCCCACGCCGGAAGTCGACCCGAGAACTTGGAAAAAAAAAGCACTCACAAGTGCACACCACACGCGAGACTCTGAATTCCGAACATGCGAATCCCCAACGTTAGCTCTGTGAAAACCATAGGTCTGATGACGATGGCCATTGCATGGTTTGATGATGATGATGATGGACAAGAAGTTTCACTAGCTCACACCGAGCGGCACATCGTTGATAACATCGGTCATACTCCTACGCCGCGACGAAGTCGTTGCATTTCGCGTTCATGTTGCTTCACCCATGCATTTGTACCTGCGTGCTGCGGTGCGTTTTTGCAGCCTTCTGCAAATGCACACCTCCGGGGACAGGTGAAAACGGACCCCGAGATGTACTTAGCCTTGATGTTGTATGGGTCCCAGGCCTCCCGTGCAACCCCAAACCCGCGTGCACGAAGGATGCACCACCCACCCGCTCTCCTTCAAGTTTTTCCTCAAGTTGAACGATACCCGGTCGTAGATTCGAAGATCAAAATATCGGGGTGAACGATACCCTGCGGTGTGATTTCATGACCCTCCCAAAACACAACCACCCCAACACCCTCCCCATATAGATTCCACAGGAACTGCTGGAGAAACACATCATTGGCATCGCAACACTCAAAAAGTAGCCTTTCCCTAGGTAGACGCTCGATTTCGAATGCACCCGCTCAGGACGCACATTGGTCACATGGGCAAAACACAGGGGCAGCACGTCACAGAGAGCGGTTCCACATGCAGATGCCCGCTTTCGCAAGCACCCGCTCATCGGCAGAACAGTGTCAGCACATCACAGTCAGCCATTCCCCATGTAGACACTCAAACAGCCAGACAACCGGTGTTCCGAATGCCAACCTTGTCCGCAACTAGCTGTAAACCTTTGAAGGCTCTTTTACCTGTGAACCGCTTCGTTCCAGGCCTGGGGGTCTACATGAAACCCTGTTACTGTTCAAAACCCTAAACCCTAAACCCTACTGGAAATGCCAAACCAACACGCTCGTGAACGCACAACCATAAAGCCTCGAACCCTAAACCCTAAACCTCCTGAAGCCCCAGCCGGTAGATTCCGGAAACCAACCTCATGGCATCAAGCCCCAAGCCCTGTAGGCCTACACCCGAAGCCCCAGCGCCCGAACCATAGTGATTGGAGCCCCAGCTCAGCTTCTGAGAGTATCTTGTTGAACGGAAGCTGTTCCAGCATACGGCTTTTCTTTAGAGGATCCGGGGACAAAGAGGGTAGATGCAGATAGAGTGGTCCTTCCTTTAAAAGGACCTCCAGGACAAGCCCCACCTACAAAAAAGGCGCCAGAAAAAGATGGGTTTTGTCCGTAATTGGCACACTCCAGTAAGTCATCGCCATACAGTTGGTCGCTAGAGGGCCCCCCCCAGGGCTTCTGCGGCATGCAGATCCTTCAATGCAGGAAGGCTTCCCCCCCAAGCCCCGGCCTAACCAGCGCTATGCAACATGTAAATGAAACCGAATATCATGCTTCATTTACGTAGCACACCCCCCACCCCAATCTTTCAGGGTGGGGCCATCCAGAGTGCATTCAGGTGTTGATTACAGCTCACCAAGCCTGCCGGAAGCGCTAAGCTGAACAAGACCAAATAAAACCACTTGGACACAAACGTATCTCGAAGGATAGAAGGCTCACTGGGTCAACCTTTGTTGCGAGGTCCCCACGGGGCAAAGTTCATGCCCATGGTGTCGATCGGCTTTCCACCTCGAGGAGATTTATGAACGCCCGTGCTTTTATCTTCCTCTCTCCTCGGCGCCCTGCTGTTTGGGTCCACAATCTGCAGAAGCCGCGGCTTGGCCGGTGTAAAGTCGGCCCTCGGAAACTCCGAGGGCTCTCGCTTCCACGGCTGGAGCACTCGGCACTCGGACCCCGGCAGGCCACCGCCCTCCTCCGCGGCTCCGCCCGCTCCGCCTGCCCCCGTCTCCTGCACATCATCAGCCTGTCAGTGGGCCAATGGGTCCGCACATGAGCGTTGAAGGGCGTTGAGCTTCTCGCCGGCGCCGGAGCCGAAAATGGTGCGGACTCTCCTGGTTATGCAGGCGTATGCAAGCCTGTGCAAGCCTCCAGGCGAAGCTCAGTGCGTCGCCCGCTGCTTTTCCTTTGCCGTCTTTGCCATCTTTACCCTTTCCTTTCAGTGCAATCTCTACAAATCTGCGACTCTACCGACTGCGAGCTCATTCCGAGTCCGGGGCCAAAGCCTTTGCCCTTGGAAAGCGCCAGCATCCGGCTGCTTTGGCAGTGCATGAAATCCCATGGTCGCCCCGTGAGCTCAGGCTGCGGCCTTGCCGGCTTTGCCCCAGGGAGCTCCCTGGTTTCCGTACCTGCGAGACGCCGCTACGAAGGTAAGGCTGGTATCGAGGCAATGGCAAGACGGCAAGTGGGGTGCATCTGCATGAGCTGCTGCGCAAACTGTTGATGATAAGCCATCGCAGCCTCACGAAGCCAGGAATACTCTGCCCAAATGGTGGCAAGCCTCGGGATAGTGGAATCCGGGCTCTGTGCCGCCTGCTGTGCCAGGTACCTGCAAGTAGAAAGGATCACGAAGGCAGCGGTCTTGGTCTCCCCGCGTAGGGGCATTTGAGGCAAAGGCTGTTGCTGCAGGTACTGGTTCATGGCCTCAGTCGATCCGACACCGAATCCTTGCTTCCTCCCCACCGCATCTCAGAGCCCCGAGCAGCGTTGCTCGTCATGGCCTCAACTTCAAATTTCCCACCCTCTCAAGAGAGCGCAGAGCGATGCAAAGCACAGCAGAGCACAGCAGAACCCTGGAAGTCGGCTCTCGGCGCTGAGGTAAGGGTTTGCCGCCGCAGCCGCGCCTGCGGGGCCAGCGGCGGACGCCTGCAGGAGCGATCGATTCTTCGCCTTCCGACCGGATCTTCGCGGTCTCTCCTCTCATCTCTCTCTCGCATGCGGCGGTCTTGGGCGTCTGAGGTCTGGGCCGGTGGCGGAGGTGGGGCTGCAGCTTCCGCTTTTCCTGCTGCTCCTGGTATCGACGCCGGCGGCACCTCCACCTTAGAAGCAGCGCACCACGCAACGCATCGGCCTGCGCCTCTCTCCCAGAGATCGGTCTGCGAGAGGACTCAGAAGACTCAGAAATTCAGAAGGGCTAAGCTGTGCTTGTGCAGTGCTACGAGCCAAGGCACGGCTGGCGACGCCAGGGCCTCAGAGCGGCAGCACGCGAAAAGGAACTCAAAGCAGTAGAGTCTAGAGCATCTTTCGACGGTTTGAACGAGTCGCTTCATAACCTGTGCTATATCCGCAGGCCGCCTCCTGGTAGAGCTGGTCGAAGCGCTCTGCGATGTCCTCCACCGTAAGCGGGGAGTCCTGGAAGCCCAGGCTGGGAGGCTCCAGGCTGACGCGGTGCATGCGGTACCACGGCCCCATGGCCCAGCGCCCGCACCTTTTCTTGCTGGTGGCCCCAAGCAACAAAGATATCTGTGACGACCTATCGTTGCGGTGCGACACAGGCGAGGATATCCAGCGTTCGCCGTCCCGTGGCCTCTCGCTTCGTCTGCTTGTCTGTGTGCCGCTTCAGCTGCACTTTGACCTGAAGGGGTCTCGAGCAGCTCCGGAATCGCTAAAAGTCGCTTGTTTGGGCTTCCGACGTCGCCGATGTCCATCTGTACACGGCCCGCAGCGTTGCGGCCAAACCTGACGATTCTGGTCATGGTCTGCATTTTGCCCCTCCTGCTCTAGCGGCCTCTGCTCAGCGAAGTTCATGATGGCCTGCACACCGAGGGAAGGGTGTCATGTGTAGTGTCACGAAACAACATGGCCTCCCGCATGCTGGCGGACTGCATGGACACCACGGCACAGCCCATGCTGCTGTGCTTGTGCACCTTCGCAGCCCATAGGCTCACACTACCACTGAATTTGACTCTGGGCCAGGCCTGGCAAATCTCGCCCTTCGTTTCGATGGGCTGTTTGGCTCCGGAGTCTGGGCTTCGCTTCACCCTTTCAATCTTGCCCTTGCCCTGGCAGCACACTGCTTGCGGGCAATGGACAGCATCCCTATGCATCCGATGACCGCCTTCGCCATTTCGGCCTCCACCTCTGCCACGGTCTTCGGGCTGGGCCTCATGTGCTCAGATGCATCGCGTAGACTGTGAGCATCCAGACAGCTCGGGTGCAAACGGGGCATCTCCTTTCCTGGGTCCGTGGTGTGCAGCTGGTGTTTGGCACTGGTCACAGCCGCAGCAACGACACATGCCTGCTTCCCTCGCCTTTGCTTTCGCCTCCTTTTGCGAAGCCTGGCACGACGCACTGCTCACAAACGGGGCGCGGGAAGAAACATCAAATGTCCGCAGCACCTTTACCTCCCTTCTTACCCTTCGAGTCCTGCAGATTCCAACTTCGCGCAGATAGACATCATGCCTCCGGAACGTGCGCATTCCTCGGACTTTCCCTTTCCTTTACCCTTGCCCTTCTCTTCGCCTTGCCCACGCCGAAAGAGCAACAAAGGAATACCAGCACCCCGCAGATCGCAAAGAGCCCGACCGTCGTCTTTGGCACCTTTGCCCTGGAGTCCAAGCTGAAGCAACTGGTCCCTTGATCTGCTGATGGCGAGAAAGTCCGGCCTTCTTCCCAGAGTCCTTAGACTTGCCCTTCTCCTGGCGCATCTGCCATGAGCCCGCCGCCCGCCTATCACTGCAAATCTCCGCACCTTGCCCTTGCCCTCCTTGGCCTCTCCCTGCCCACAGCATTTTCATGACACTATCCCTACACGACCCCGCCCCGCTCTGTTGCGCGTGCCTTGCTGGGCTTCGTGTCCCAACCCTGGCGCGGAAACTCGCAGCCACGACATGTCGGCCCAAAGCGAGATGAGGCTCCCACCCAGTCGTTCCAGCTCCACCAGTCCGAGTCTGAGTGCACAAGCTGCCGACCTCTGCCGACCTCGCCTCCCTGGTGCCCCCTTCGCCCAAGGCGTCCGCAGCTGTCGGCCGTCCACGTCCAACCTCAGACGAAGAGCTGAGATGCGACCCATGCGCGAGTACGGGAGGCGCGGGCAGAAAGCCCAAGTAAGGCCCATACTCCAGTCCTCCTCCTCAGCTCTGGCAGACTTGCCTGCACACGATCCCAGAGAAGCACCGATTGCATCGGAGTCCTCTACCACGGCCCGCTCCCGCCTCCCTTCCGCTTCCCCTCGCCCTTTCGATCGCCCTTGCCCTGTGAAGCTCCAGAAGCGCACTTTTGAGGGGTACCCGAGAGGGCCCGGCAGCCCACGGCCAGCAGCCGCAGGCAACCGCGCCTCCTTTGGCTCCTCTTTCTTGGCCCACTTCATCCCGCGCGCAACGCCTTGCGGCGGCCTGCGTCGGCTGAAACTGTCGAATCCCCTCGCAAAGCAGAGCAGCAGCGCAGTGCAGCAGAGCAGTGCAGCAGAGCAGTGCAGCAGAGCAGTGCAGCAGAGCAGTGCTGAGCCTCGCTGAGTCCAAGGCTTCTCAAGGCACAAAGAGGTTACTTTACACCTGCTAATTAAGGGCTGCAGTGGCATCGGCTTAGCGGCCTGGACTCTAGAATCAGTGTGAGGATTCACGTTGCTATGCTCATCGCCATACAGGCTATACAACCGTCACGTGAGCTTACATGCAGCTCGGCAGCTGAAAGCCATTGGCAACACGACGTTCCACACGATGCTTCTGAAGCTTGGATTGAAAACAATAGCATGGCACGTGGCTGAGTTGCGGCCCCAGTTCGGATTTACAGCCTGCTTGCTTAGGGGCTCAAGGGCTCAAAGACCGACCGTTTCCAAACGGATTGGCTTCTCGATGGCAACTCCCGTCAAAAGTCACCCACAGCAAAAACACGAAGGGGACGAGCCAGTCAGGTTTTGCAGCGGATTCATCTTGATCTCGGCGCTTTCAATGAGTCCGTATGAATGAAGCTTGAACTCATGGGCTTCCGACTCAATAGGACCGAGAACCAACTGTCTACAGCGAGCGCAACAACCTGAGCTCGGAACTTTCTGCCACCTCTGCGGATGCCGGTTACGTGTAGCTCTTCCCGTATTTGCCTTTCGCCATCGCACCAAGTGAATCTCAATGTGTAACCCTGCGCATGCACTTTGAACTTGTCCCCATCGGCTGAGGTGAGGGTACCCGAGTAGATGTTGTACTTTTAACTTTTAACATGCCACGAGAAGCATTCTCTTGGTGGCGTGAGCCAGTCTTGGTGAGATTCACTCTGGCAGTGGCATTCACAAAGACCAAGTTGGATTCCGAATTCTTCGGGGGAAGCGAAATATCAACTGTGCGGCAGTGTTCTTCGAGCCGTGCTCGGGCACCATGCAAAACGGAAGCTTCGAGAACACTTCCGATCATGATGGTGGGGTTGTCAATCTGCCGCTGCACAGGGGTTCCATCAAATTTCACATCGTATGAACCAGTTCAAAGTCATGTCTTGGAATAGGTTACAGGAGACAGAAATCGTCCATTATACGTCTCGGCTGGATGTCAACGAATGATATTTACAAGAACCCAAACGACGCAGTTCTACACTCATCCTATGTGGTGGTGCTCGGGCTTGGTTATTGCGAAACGCGTCAAAGACCATGCCAGTGACTTCTGTCCGGTGAATGCAGTGGGGGAGAGCTCGGGCTTGAGTATTGCGAAACGCGTCAACAACCATACCAGTGGCTTCTGTCCGGTGAATGCAGTGGGAGAGGGAGAGAGAGTGAAAACTTCAACAGTAAAAACGTAGGTTACCGGGACACTAAGATCAATCACTTTCCCCAATCACACTCAAGCAGACATTCCCACTGGGCAGGCCAGTAGTCCGGGGCGGCCTCTCTGGCGTGTATTGCGAGGGCATCACAAATTTCGTTGCCTAGATGGCCTGCATGGCCTAAGACATGGCTGTGGTCGACTACTAGGAAGGCCTCCAAGTACTGTCGCAGGTGGACACTGCATGACTCTGTCTTCATTTCAGTGCTTGAGTCAGTTCGTGCAATCGCCGTTCATTCTCTGAGGATTCTCCAGGAACCTTCAGCATTTTCGGCTTCAATGCACTCCTGTCCTCAGTCTCCTGCTCGGCGTTTTCGCCAGCAGTAGGGCGATCCAGTGGCACAAACAATGTGCAACCAGTCCACTTGTCCAGTGGGACCCCGTGGATCCTCACACTTTTTCACCGATCCATCAGGCAGTTCGATGTATGCCCATTCATTCTGCTGACCAGTATCAATCATCGTGGGATCAGTCGAGTCAGAGGACATTGTGCACCTATCACCCCACAAGTGATCACTCAACAATCCATCAACGGGAGAACTCGCATCGTCCGGATGGAAGTAGCGATCACGCATTTCATGGGCATTCTTATCCACGATCGAGGGAGCATGATCCGTCTATCTGCAGTCCTTTGTGCTGAAGTCTCAGGATCCTCGAGATTGAACAGTTGCAACAACAACTCCTTCATTTTCTCTCCATGTTGAGGCAGTGACCGCAATGCATTCGCAAGCTCATGCTCCTCAACATTCCGACTCACTCTCACTTTGCGCTCCAACTCTTCAGGCTCTTCACCAGTCTTGGCTCGGACTTTTGGAGCATTCTCACCCTCTTGCTCCATTTCAATAACGTCAGCATTCGCCGGTGTCGGCGATTTGCCAACCATTGGATCATGCGGACGTGGCGCACTCTTTTGCGCATGCCTGCGCTGAGGTTTATGCGTCAGTTCGAATTCCACTCGTCCTCGCCAATCTCTCTCATCACGAGGCCTGGTATTCGTCATTGTCAGGAAATTGGCATCCCTAACAGTGACAGTCGAACCATCTCGTTAAATCTTGTGCGTCAGTCTCTCTCACCAGTGAGACGAAGCACGGGAACCGGCATTCGATTTGCCAGTTTAATCCGAGGGTCCAACATCTCATTCCTCCAGACCTTCACATGGCGAATCAACTTCAACTCAGTTCCATTCACCTCCCAGGTGTCTTCCACCTTCAGAGGACTTCATTGAAGCAATCAAGGCACCAATCTGGCAGAGATGGCCAATCGAGCAGTCATGCACGTCAGACACTCCACGCAGTTCCAGGGCGCCAAGTTCCTCCTCAATTCCCGACATTACCTCCAGCAAGCATGTTGCCGTCAGTCTCGCCGCATTTGCATCACTATAGGGAATCACAGCCGGTGTCAAATACACCGGTGTCCCTTATCGCACAATCGGCACAGGATTGCCAGTCGGGTCAATCAACGCCATGTAATCTTTCGCCATTACAGTCCAGAAATCTTGCAGCAACAACTGGCAACACTGACCAGTGGGAACGGTATCCCAGTGCACACATAGAACTGGACACTCAACGAGTGGCCATTTCCACAGTCAACAAGCTGCACAATCTTCCTGCCTTGAACATCCAGTGTCCTTCCAGACAAGCTACACAGTGAAGGTGCACTCTCATTCAGAGGAAGCGTCGGATAATCCGGCGCAAGCCATTCAGGACAACACTTCGCGCAAGCTCCACTGTAGAACAGTATCCATGTTTTGTCGACCAGTCCAGCCTGCATGTGAAACTCAATCAAGCTGTCGTCGAAACCAATCGGATCATTCTCAGGCATTCCCTTCAAGTTTGGTACACTTCGGTTCGGTATTGGTGGCACTCCGGAACTCATTGCGCCAATCAACAAGCACGCTCCAACGAACAAGTTCGTCATCAGTCCGGGCTTAGCTCCCCGGACAGTCTTAGCAACTCTGGGCGCGCTCTGATCCGACGACTCAACAGTCACAGCTGACACATTCTGTGGTGGTTCATTCTTGGCGGTGTCCTGAGGGACATTCGAACCTGCGCTCGCGGCACCATTCGAGCTCTGCGGCTGACCTTCCGCAGGACTCCACCATCCCTGAGTGTTCCAGGACCAGTCCTCAGGCCAAGAACTCCATTCGTCCTCAAACCAAGACCAGTCACCAAACCAATCATCAACGGAATCAATCCACTCACCATTCCAATCCTGTTCTTCCCAGGGCCAATCATCATGTGACCAGTCATCCAGACTCCACTGATTCCATTCAACATACCATTCTGTTCAATGTCTTTGCTCCTCTTCAGTCACAGCTGAAATCTTGCCTTTACCTTGGGGGTTCCGGCATTCTCTGCTCCAGTGGCTTGTGTCACCACAAAGAAAACAACCTTGTCCTTTTCTTTTTCCTTTCATTCCTTTTCCTTTGCCCTTACCTTTTGCTTTGCTCTTTCCTTTGCCTTTCATTCCTTTGTGCATTCCTTTGCCTTTGTATCCTTCTCGTTTCCTATGTTGAAATATTCCTTTTCCACCTTTGTAACCTTTTCCTTTCATTTCTTTCCTTCCTTTCAACTTTCAATGCTCCTATATCCATGTCGGCTTGACCACCATGATCAATCCTACCACTCGGGACAGTCAGGTGTGTGCTCTGATGTAACTGTAGATAATGTCCAGTGCTTCACTAAACGTGCTGATATTCCTGACATTCAACCTCAAATGCTGTTGCAAAGGGCCAGTCGTCTTCTGCACTAGCAATGTGACAAGCAGGTCATTGTCAGGCGGTCTTCCAGTCGTCTTCTCATGTCTATTCTTCAGGATCATGAACTCACTCAAGTCCCTCTCGAGATGGTCATTTCTCAACCGAAAACCAATGATCTAATTCAGGAGGTTCGTAGATCGGGCTCTTGTGCAATCGCCTCCAAATCTCAAGCCCATTCTCTGTGTCTTCATTGCGCACAATCGCTCGTGCTGCGCCATCAGTGATTTGCGCAAGCATATACGCCAGTTGCCTAGAGAACAGTGAAAGCCGAACATTCTGGGTGCGACTCTGTAGCACATTGAACGCCTCACACAGATCCTCAGTGATGGCAACTTTCGACCCCTCCACATCGTCCATTAAAGTTTCGCCAATGGTTTGCGCAATCCTACATATCGCTTCAACTGCCACGACCAGTCTCCCCATTTCTCAAGCTCTCCATGATACACTGCCGGCGGGAACAAGTTGATCTCTCCGCCAATCCCTCTTGTTCCAAACTCCATTCTGTCTCAGTCCCTGATTCCAGAGCCGAAGCTCCGCTACCATGAAAAATTCAACAATACAATCGTAGGTTGCCGGGACACTAAGATCAATCACTTTCCCCAGTCACACTCAAGCAAACATTCCTTTGTGACGTCAAGCCTCAGTCCAGTCTTGAGCCAATGCCGTTCGGCATTGTTTTTTGGGCGGCCCTATGCAACTCGCTCAGCAACAACTCCGCATGAACTCAGGTCTGTGAGAGTACTACATAGGAGTGTGCTTCAAGGAGTGTCTTGCACGTTGGCAACCTCACTAGCGTACTCCAAA